GGAAAGAGACATAGCTAAGATTCCTCCAGAACCCAAGCCTCTCACACTATAGCATACATCACTGTTGCAAAGACATCTAAACTGCAAAATTTAAGATTTCTTTGATGAATAGACAAATTTTTATAGTAATTTCAATTCTGTAGGAAGTAAAGTGGAATCATGAAAAATTAGACAGTAAAATTTCCCTCACTAGTGCAGAATTGTCTCAGAGATCAAGAAATGTAAGGAGCTACGCTCCCCTCCCAGAGCTGGAATGGAACCCAGTTGTCCTGGCTCCCAGATCCACTCCCATACGCACTCTGGCCTACTGAACCCCACTCGCCTCACATAGCTGAGGATGGAAGCCCAATAGTTTCAGCTGTTGCTGAAAGCACCATGCTCTAGCCTGCTGGACCCAACAACCTTATCAAGTTTGGGGATGGAGCCCAGAAACTGCACTTTATTCATTAGACACTACACCATTCCAGGACTGGCAATAGTGCTCAGGAGTCCTGATTCCCAGTACCCATGCTCTATCCCCGAATCCTGATTCCCAGCCCTGAACCTTTACCCAAGGCCCATTCTTCCAGTCCTGGATATTTGGATATTGATCACTGATGGTGCATACGGTGATTGTACATGAGGCTGTTCATCTCTCCATAGCTGTTTTGCTGTGACAGCTGTCTGCCATGGAAACACCCCTCTACTCACTGAATACTGTTGCCTTGGGGCCAAGTAATTAGCTAATACCTGGGATCTCACAAGGCAGTCACTATTAGAAGGCAAAATTAAGGATAGGAAGCAAATAAATTCTTGGTGTGATCGCTGTTCATCTACCCAGAATGTTTCCAAAGTCATGTCATGGAAAGTCATGTTTCCAAGACCACAGTTGAAATAATAGCAGGCAGATACCTAGTTCAGAAACATCACAGCCTGCTCCTCCAGCGAGTCCTGTGCCTCAAGGAGCTCAATCTCTCTGCTCCCTTTCACACTCATGACTCTTTTTTGTCCCCGATGCCCTCAGGTTACCACCAATCTCTAAGCCCAGGAGTCAGCAACAAAGGAAAGTCCTGTCAGACCTCATCCACATTTGAAAGCTTTAGCAGTGTAATTATGCTATAGAAGAAGGATTTTTACTGCAACAGTTATCTCAGGACAGTCTCTCATTTTAACTCTGGATACAGCACTGGCAATACTGTATACAGTTCTAAGGAAAAAAGAGTTATAAAAGATGTTGAAAAGCTGGAGAGGGTGCAGAGAAGAGCCACAAAATTGATTTGAGGGATGGAGAAAATGTCTTACTATGAGTGACTTGAAATGCTCAATCTGGTTAGTTTATCAAAAAAGTTCCAGAGTGATATGATTATAGTGCACCAGTACCTTCATGGGGAGAAAATACAGGGTAATCTTTAATCTAGTAGAGAAAGGCAGAATATAAACCAATAGTTAACAGTTCTTACCAGACAAATTCAAGTTAGAAATAAGATACCCATTTTTAACAGTGAGGCTGATTAATGACTGAAACAAACTCTAAAGGGCAATGGAGGATTCTCCATCTCCTAATGGCTTCTAATCCACACTAGATGCCTTGTTGGAAGATGCTTTAGTTAAACTGAATACTGTTTTCAATATTGGATACAATATAGAACTGGCTGAAATTTTCTGGCCTGTGAGATACAGGAGGTCAGATTAGATGATCTAATGGTTCCTTTTGGCCTTAACTTTAGAACGTATGACTAGGTAATGGAGAAGAGAATGAAAGATTTTCATATTTATTAGGCAGTACTTACTATACCTTTAAGTATATTTGTTAAAACAAACATGTACAAAGTTCAACTCTAAGGATACGTCTAAACTACGATCCTCTCACGGAAGAGGAAATGCAAATTGAGCACTCATTTGCATATTTCACACTCTCATTTGCATTTCCTCTTCCTTTCCCTTTTGCGCAAGAGGTTTTTGCACAAAAAAGTGCTGTGTATACGGCGCCTTTTTGTGCAAAAAACCCCTTTTGCGCAAGGGTTGTTCTTCCTCAAAAAATGATGAAATCTTTGGATTATCACCCTGTCAGTCTGTCTATCGACCTAGATTTCTACATTGGACTAGATCACCATCGGAATCAAGTCACAAAGAGCCAGAGTGTCTTTTTGGTGGAAATGTTTCAAGTGCATTGACAGATGGGAGACAAATTCATTTGGAAAGTGAGTGTGAAGATAATTCCACTGTTTTCGTGAAATAGGCATGGGATCATGCCTCACTGATTAAACCGCACCGGGTAGTAGAAAGCATTCCACAGAGAATTCTAATGCAATCTAGAAAATAGAACAAAGAAATACAACATATCCCAGTGCCAGAAGGGGCCACTGTGATCATCTAGTCTGACCTCCTGTATAATACAGACCACAGAACTTCCAAGAAATTCCTAGAGCATATCTCTTAGCAAAAACATCCCATCTTGATTTTTAAAATTGTCAGTGATGAAACATCCACTATGACCCTTGGCAAGTTGTTCCAGAGAATAATTACCCTTACTGGTAAAAATAATTATACTTTATAGCCAGTTTCAATATAGCCAATGGATTGTAATATATCTTTCTCTACTAGACTGAAGAATCCATACTGTTCAACTTTATTTTTAAGGATATAAAATATCACTAAACTTCTACAGTAAAAAAAATGTTCACATGTTGGGAGAACCAGGGCAGTACTAGTAAGTGAAAAATTCTGGTTGACTGAGAGGGTGGGAGTTTGGGTGAGGCAGGGGGCTCAGGGCAAGGGCACAGAAGGGGTTTTGGGGTGCTATATTCAGGGGATGCACACTTTGGGCAGCTCCCCACAAGTTGCAATCTGTCCCTGCTGCTTTTGGCAAAGGTGAGGCTAGATGGCTCTGAGCACTGCCTTGCCCACAGGCGTTACCCCGACAGCTTCCAAAGGCCAATAGGACCTAAGGAGCCAGTGCTTAAGGCAAGGTGTGGGTAGAGTGTACAGCTGTCTAGCTATGCCTCTACCAGGAACAGCATGGACAGCTTGTGGGAAGCCACTGAAGGTGAGTTGCTCCTGAATCCATCAACCCGCACCCCAACCTCTAGCCCTGCACCCCCTTCTGCATGCAAATTCCCTCCCAGAGTCGGTGCCCCATACTCCATCCTTGATACCGAACCCTTCATGAATGTTCCTCTGCCTAGGAGCAGCAGCATCTTGTACTGTTTCTGGGGAGACACAGGGAGTCAGATAGGAAATATGCTGTTCCCATACCAACCAGACAACCCAATTTTTTATGAATATTAGAAATGTTGTTTCATAGAGCTTTCTGGTTGGCACAGGACTGGATAACAGAACTTTTACTGTATGTCCAAAATATTAATGTTCTAAATGGCACACTAAAAATTTAGGAAATAAAGTGAAGATTAACTGCACAACCTTAACTATTCTATCACATGTATGTTAAAAACAGTATTTTCATATGATCACAAATAATTTTTCTTGTCGATTTAAATGGCAGCTGTGGTTGCTCAGCAACTGTAAAATAAGGCCATTTATTTAGATGACTGTGGATAAAAGGTACTTAATTTTAGGCAATCACATCTGAAAATGTGGGTCTCATTTAAGATTTCAGAAAGAGAAACATTTTTAAAAGTCAGTACAAATGGTAAACACCTAAATTCACATTTAGGGAACCAGGTATGCATGTAGGGAAGAAGTGTGTTCTACATATTTTGCACCTCTACCTAGGAAATCAGCTGAGGGAAAATGTTGTTATATTTACTGTTTTTATGTAAAAGTGTTCAGTTACGATTGATTGAACTTCGTAGTATCATATAAAGTCTTACACCACACAATACATTAAAAACAGCTATGGACTACCTCATTTAAATTTGAATTTGCCAGGCATATATATTTATCTAGATATGTAATAATACAAAGCATTACCTGTTAATGAGTGTCATCTAACCATTTACTTTTAGTATTTTATTGATATTTTCAAGCATAAAATATATTATTTTCTTTTAAATTATGCATTTTTATTCTATCAGAAATCTTAGCTAAATAGGCTGGCCCTTAACACTGTACAAAGGATGCGTCCCAAAAGGAGACAAACTCTATTCCTTACCTATTTGTTTTCTGTATTGCTCAACAGGAATTCTTGAGGCAGAGGCATCTTTTCTCCCCATCTTTTTTGAATCCAAAGCCACTAAGTAAGGAAGGGGGAAAAAATCACATTAATTTTTAAATGAGTTAACTAATCAAACCAATGAATTCTACGCATATCATACAAAATCTTCAACAATTAAACAGTTATCTAAACTCCATAAAGAAATACACTGTAAACAACAGAAATGGTTATTAACCTTTGTGTAACCACTGTTCTTTGCACACACCCACTCTGCTGTAGGTGTACATGTACCCCAACCACAGTTGTCAGAGCTTTTTCCTTAGCAGTACCAATAGAGGCAGCACAATCTCCCTTTGCGGTCTTGTGCACTACATGCGGCATAAAGCACAAAGCTGCCACCAACTAGGGATATAAACGGGTAAGAAACCATTTCTTCTTCAAGGGTGATGCTTACCAGGTGATGCTTACCAAGTAATGGTTAACCAGTGCCCAGGAGCAGCTGGGCTGCAGGCGAAGGGGCTGCTCCAGCCCTGTTGGACCCATTACACCATGAACCAGGGCATAAGTTGGCAGCCTCACACGGAACCAGGAGTCCTGTGTGGGTGGGAAGGCATCCGTCGCATGGGCTGGAGTGTGCCCCTCCCATCTTGTTTAATCGGGTAACTGGTTAAACCTAAGGTTTACCCATTTAACTGATTAAACGGGATTTTATATCCCTACCACTAATCCCACTCAGCTTCTTCTAACCAGAAAGATGCCAATAGAAAAGAGGAGGAGGAGGACAGGTCATGGAATGGACATGTACAACATATCTTGAAGAACAACAGTTATAGAAAAGTTAGTAACCATTTCATTTTCAAGTGACTGTACATGTTAGCAGCCATTTCTTCTTTTTCAAGAGATTGCACATATGATTCAAAAGCAGTCCAACCTAGAGTTGGGTTCAGAGTCTATTTGAACAAAGACTGCAGAACAACTTCTCCAAACTTAACAATGTCTCTAAACCAGTGGTCGGCCAAATACCTGTCTGCAGGGTGGATCTGGTTCACCAGGGTTAGCCCCTGGTGGGCTGCCACAGCTATATTTACCTCTGCCTCCAAAAGTATGGGAGATTGCAGCTTCCACTGGCTGCGGATCACTGCTCCTGGCCAATGGAGCTGTGGGAAGTGGTGTCCCAGTCTGCGCTGCTTCCCACAGCTACCATTGGCTGGGAACAGTGATTTGCAGCTAACGGGAGCTGGAAGCACCCATATCTATCAGTGGTGCTATAGACTCGATAGCACAGTTAGAGGCAAATTTGCCATAATGACCAGGTTGCCCCTTTGTAAATGTCTAATATGGGAATGTGGGCCAGACATGCAATAGAGGCTCCCTAGAATGGAGTCAAATGACCCAATTCTCTATTCAGAGTCTTCACATTCGCCAACTGTTAACATATCTAGATATCCAAAATGCGATCTTTTGGCTGAATACAGCATAGACTACCATATGTAGTCACAGACATACAAGTTTTAGTCCAAAAAAATTATGCTTTTCGAATATCTAGAGTATGAAGCCCCTCCTCACTTTTATGATCAGGAGGATTAGGGAAGATTGATAAGTTTACTGACTGGTTAATTTAAAAACTGGAAACTACCTTAAGAAGAAATCTTGGGTGGAGACGAATGTAAATTTTTTGTAGAAAATTGTATATTGAGGACCTAATAATACCAATGCCATCAGTTCCCCCGATTCACCTAGCTGATAGAAAATGTACAATGACTGAACTAATCAACAATGCTTAGTGTTTTAGAGACACAAAAATCAAACACCAGAGAAGATCCTTTCATTCTGACCCAGACAGAGAACTCCTTCCATTTATCCAAATAAGTACTCTTAGTTGATGGTTTTCTACTATTCAGCAATACTTCCTGAACAACCTTAGAATACGATTTCTCTGAAATCATTAGCCATGAAGCTTCTGAGCCATCAGTAGAAGGGTCTGCAGATTAAGATGGAGGAGGTAACCCGGGTTCTGTGAAATCAAGCCCATTTGTAGCAGAAATAACAATAGGGGACTGACTGATAGGTTTGATTGTTTGATAGCTTGAAAAAAAAAAACAGTGTTGAAAGGACCATCCCCACAAAGCAATCAGTATAGGATGAATGTAGTCCAGCTTAGGTTTGAACTCTGGGCAGGAGAGAAACTGTTTTTGTTCACAGTTATCTGACCATGGCAGTAGAAGCGCATCTGTCAACAAATATGGACTCTTGTCCACTGGGAAGAAAAAATAGTGATTTTTTGCTGTCTTTTGTTGCTCTCATATATTTACCTCCCCCATCCAAAGTAGAAGGGGGAGTTTCACTGCCTTCACATCCTTGTCACCCAAGGAAGCCTGTTCATAGTTCTAGAAATTGTGAAGTGAAGAAAGGGTGGAGAACAGGTGGAGTCACCTTGATTGTCCTCTAACTTCACCTAGAAGCAAAACCAGAGGAGAATAAATACTGTCAGAGACTGTATTCACTTTCTTGTATTTCTTATATCTCCTTGTTCTTAAAAAACTTAAACCACAAATCATAAAATCATAGAATACTAGGACTGGAAGGGACCTCGAGAGGACATCAAGTCCAGTCCCCTGCCCTCATGGCAGGACCAAGTACTGATTAGACCATCCCTGACAGACATTTATCTAACCTACTCTTAAATATCTCCGCAGATGGAGATTCCACAACCTTCCTGGGCAATTTATTCCAGTGTTTGATTACCCTGACAGTTAGGAACTTTTTCCTAATGTCCAACCTAAACCTCCTTTGCTGCAGTTTAAGCCCATTGCTTCTTGTTCTATCCTCAGAGCCTAAGATAAACAAGTTTTCTCCCTCCTCTTTATGAAACCCTTTTAGATACCTGAAAACTGCTATCATGTCCCACCTTAATCTTCTCTTTTCTAAACTAAACAAACCCAATTCTTTCAGCCTTCCTTCATAGGTCATGTTCTCTAAACCTTTAATCATTCTCAGGGCTCGACAAATAATGCCATCTACTCACCTGTGGCGAGTAGATTGCAACCTGGAAGAGCCGGGTTCGGGCGATCTGTGCATGCGCAGATTGCCAGACGGTGCAGCTGGTGAGCGGGGCTCGCCGTGGTTCGGCAAGCCCATATCATTCTTAATAATCTAGTAGCACATTAAAGACTAACAAAACATGTAAATGGTATCATGAGCTTTCATGGGCAAGTTCACGATACCACCTACATATTTTGTTAGTCTTTAAAGTGCTACTAGACTATTTGTTGTTTTTTAAGTTTTTCCTGTTACAGACCAACTCAGCTACCTCTCTGAAGATTTTGTTCTTAAAAGGCAGTCTCATGTACAGTAACTGGGAAAACTTAATAGTGCCATGTCAGGGAACCACTGGGCAGCTCCCGTGAATACAGAGCTGGTGCAAGAGATGCAGGGACCCCACATTAATGGCCTTTTATCCCAGGATGAAACACAAAATCCCTGCATGTTTTTGGGGATTAGCAAGAGGTGTGGATGTAATACATTTTCTTCCAATACAGGGAATAAACAGATGAATTCAAAGAAAACATTGGAGCAGAAACCACATGGACTTTCCTGGATTGTAGCTTAGTCCAGAACTGAGATAGCAAATGTGCACATTTAAGGTATTTTAATTACACGTTTCTTTTGACCAGAGATAACAAATCATATCATATTATACATGTGTAGTAATTGGGATGTGTACAAATGAGGACTACAAATTTACAACCTCACCCAGGTCTCCAGAGTTCATATCCACTATCTCCCCTTTAACGTTATTTTTAAAAAGTTCAAAGTAATGTATCAAAATGTACAGATGTTGTAAAATTAAAACAACAAGAATGAGAATCACCAATCACCTTCCAAAGTCTAATTAATCAGCCTTTTGTATAAAGAACTCCAAATAGAATGGAGGGGGTAGAATCCATCTCTCACCTTGCAGGCAGGCTGCAGAGCTGCCCTATGGTCCCACTGAGGCTGCTATTCCCACCAATAATCATAGCTTCCTCTCCCTTAGTATCACTTTTCTCTACTAGATCCACACAATCATGGTTCCAATAACCCTTCTAGCTCAATCCAAACACACCAGCTGTGTGTTAAATAAGAGGTATTAAAATGATATACACAGCTGCTTCCTTTGTATGCTTCTCTCCCCCACCCAGTAACAACACATGGTTTACCTGGTACAGAAGGATGCTAATAATGGAATCAGTTTCATGCTCTATTCTAAGAGTCAAAATCTGGCTTGAAATCCATGCAAATATCTGTATCTATATAACCATCAAGACAACTGTCAAATAAGCTATTGTCAATGGGAAGTTTAAAGCACAGTCCCAGTAATTATCCCTGGGCTTATTCATGCTTCAGACAACACAGCAATTATTTTCACTATTGTCTGTTTGGTCATATAGGACCCAATTCTGCTTTTTGCTGACAGTACTAACCAGAAATCAGCACCCCATTACATCAGTACAAATACAGATTAACTCCATTAATTTAAGAAGAGTTATTCCAGATATAAACTGGCATAAATGACAGAAGAATCTGGCCAATGGCAAAACTTCTACTAACTTCAACGAAGTAGAAATAGAGCCTGTATCTTAAGGTGTGAACCAAGAGATTTAGAATGAAACTGAGTCTTCACAACTCAGTGCATACTTTACAGTGTTCAAGAGGAACAGAAATGTACAAATTAACATTGCTGGACTTTTAGTGCAGGTCACTCTTAATATCTCTAATGATGTTTATATGCTAAGCAGATTTAATTCAGTAAATACCCACATTTACATATCTATAACAAATACTAAACTGAATGAAACTTAGGGTAAAGTATTACATTTGGGTATTTTTTTCCAGTCCCTTGCCCCTATTGCCTGTAGAATCATAACCCATCTGAGAAGAAAGTCACCTGAATCCCACATAACACTTACACCATGGCAACAGTAATAGAAAATAAAGTTAATATTTCAGCTAGCAGAGTATATAATACTAAATTTTTTTAACCAAAATCTAGTTTTTGGCTTACTTTATTCTGGTGTTAGAAAAAATGCTGGACTTCC